CAGATATTTTATACTAACATTATTTGCTACTAGATATTTTAGGATTAAAAAAGTATTATGTGGGCAATGGAGTAGAAGTTCAAAACCCTGATTTTGATGCAGTGTGGGGAGTTAGAGTTTGCAAAGGGAACCATGGGGTCCAAACGGGACAAGCTACTGTGGGGTCATGGGGGACTTTCAGCAGAGACCAGCTCTCATAAGGTGACAGTACTACAGCTAGCCAGATGTCATCCTGTGTAAGAAAATATCCTGCCACTTGTATCAGGCACCTGCAATGCCCATTCTGTCTCCCAGGACTTATCCCTGCCCGCTACCCAAGGGTCGTCATGGTAAGGTGTGGAAGCCTGCCTGTCTATCCATGTTTATTAATTAGCCCATGGTGAACAGGGTCACAGCCCATGCTTTTCTGGGCCCAGTCCCTCCATCCAGTCCCCCCCCCCCACATACACACTGTTACTACAGCAGGACAAGCGCAGACATGGGGTCTGAAGAAGGCCCTAAGTTTCCCTCTTTTGAAGAGCCTCCTCTGACCAGCTGTGTAGCTACTGGTCAACATGGCTCTTGAGCACTTTGGGTAGAACTAGTCAAAACAGATGGAGACACTTAAGTCCAAAGTGGACCTCCAAAAACTTAGTCTCATTGCAACATTAGCTGTGACATGAATGCTAATGATGAAGATTATGCTATTTGGATGTATGGAGTAAGTAAAATATACCAGTACTATTAATTTTGCTTGTTTTTTCTCCCCTCCAAAATGGGTGAAAAGGGCTATGGGGGAATTGCTCAGTGGTAGAGGGCATGTTAAGAATACATACTGCTCTTGCAGAGTTGAGTTCAATTCCCAGTACCTATGTTGAGCAGCTTACAACTCAGCTCCAGGGGGTCACCTGCACTCACATTTACAAATAATGAAAAATAAAAGTTTCATTAGATATTTAGTTACTATATGTGTATGTGTGTTTGATTGAGCATATGTATATGTATGCACACTGTAGGAGTCATGGAAGTGAGAACAGGTGTTGGATTTCCTGGAACAGGGGTTGCAAACTGTTGTCTACATGTAGCCTCCATGTGGTTGCTAACATGTGAAACCAGGTCCTCTGGGAGAATAGTAAGTGCTCTTAACCACTGAGCCTTCTCTCCAGCCCACCCAATAATACATTTTCAAAATTAAATTAAATTTGTTCTTGTTGTTTAAGACAGGATCTCTCTATGTAATCCTGAAATTCACTATGTAGAGTGCTGTGGAATAATCTTTTTGTACCCTGTGAAGATGTGTCACTCATTTTGGTTTAATAAAGAACTGAATGGCCAATTGTTAGGCAGGATTTCCAGGCACAGAAGATGCTGGGAAGAAGGACTGAGTTGTGAGGAGATGTCAGGGACGCGGAGTAAGCAGCATGGGCTTCACAAAGGAAAATACTCTCGGCTAGAAGGGAACTGGACACACCTTAGTGGTAAAAGATACTTTCCTAGCATAATGTGGTCCTAGCCTCAACGAAAAAGAAAGTGGCTATTAGAAAAATTAAAAACACAAAGCTGGTTCACATTGTACTCTTATTGTGAACAAACTGCACAGGCTGTACACCTGATGGGCTGCCTTTATTGAAAAGAACAAAACCCTACATGCTTAAGAACTCTTGAGAAAGTGGGGGAAGGAAATGTGTGCAATCTCAGTGCTGTCTTCTCTCCTGGTATAACCATCTTGTCCTCCAGTGGCCCAGGTGAGTCCTGGCATAGGACCCATGTACTCCTCAGGGCCTGGAGATGTGTTCACAGGGACCTGCAGTCATCCTATTACTCTGAAAAACTCACAGGAAGAGACCACACGGCTCCCTCAGGGAGCTACCTTGGCCAGTGAGGTTGAGGTTTCTTGGCTTAGAGCTCTCTGCGCTCCAGCCAGGGAGGCTTGTCCTCCACACCAGAGACTCTGATGGCCCATTGTAGATCTCCTTGATGAATGGAGATGTTGAAAATAGGTTAATTACTCTTAAATATGCAATTGTATACTAAACACTGTTCTTAGTGTTGCTGAGAGGCACGATCTATAACAGGAAGTTTGGAAGCCACTGACACAAACTGTTCTGTTCCTCAGGAGTCTGCTTCTTGCCACGTTTGGCTGGTAGGTGGTAGGAATCACCCAGAGACACGTCTCTGGCATGCTCATCTCTCTGAAATTCATAGGATTTCAAGACATGGGATATGTCTACATTCCACCAACGAGGATCATATGCAACCTGCCCTGGCTGTCAGACTCCACAGGCAACTGCCATGCTCTTTGTCCAGCCTCATTTCCTCCACACCTTGGAATGCACCAAGCTGTAAATGAGCCAAGCTATCTCCAAAAGCCCTGAGTCATAACCGCACATTCCTCCATCCGTGTGCAGCTCTGCATGCCATTGCTACACTCAGAACCAGCTCACCCTCGCTCATACCCACAGCCACTGGGGCTCCTCCCAAGGTCGTAACAACTCATGACCTCCACCTGCACCTGTCCCCAGTCCTGACCCTCAGGGGAGGCAGCATCGCCTCATCGGGGTTAATAAGTGTACTCTCAGCAGCCTGGCTGACGTCCCCACTCCATCCTTATTGGCTGCCAGACCACAGGCTAATTATGTAATCTTTCTAGAACTCAGTTTTCCCACCTGTAAACTGAAGTTTATGAGAGCGCCGCCTTCACTGGGAAGATGCAGCACAGTGCATGTATTGTTATATGTTAATATGCACATAAGCACATGTGATACATAATGAGATAATATGGGACACTTTCTATAGGGGACCAGCAGATGCCCTGAGCAACTTAGCTCTTTACTATGGGCTGTTTCCTTCCTTCTGCCTTCTCGCCTTGGCTATTGGGGTGCTCAGCTGGATCGATTGCCTCAACTGTAGGTCACATTTCACTGCTCTACCAGTGTCTGATGGACATCTGGGTTGCTTTTACTTATACGGGGTGAGGGAATCACGGAGTGCATGTGTGTGGAGGCCAGAGGACAACATTGGCTGTCATTTCTCAGGTGAGTTGGGGGTGGTGGGGTAAGGGACAAGGACCCTTACTGTTTTGGTCCTCACCATGTAGGCTAGGCTGACGAGCCAGGGAACCCTGGAGACTGACTTGTCTCAACCTCCCCAGTAGGATTATAAGAACGCAGCATAATACCTGGCCTTTTCACATGGGTTCTGGGGATTGAACTCGGGTCCTCATGTTTGTAAAGCAAACACATTTAAGGGCTGAGGGATCCGCTCAGCCCTATCTTTGCTTTCTAACTGCTATGAAAAGCGTTGTGACACTGGTGGGTGGATTTCTGAGTGAACCTGTGCTTTTATTCCTCTTGCATGTATACTTGGGAGTGATATGCCGGGCCGGCGCTCCGTCTATATTTAACCATCCAAGGAACTAACATTCCCCAAGAGGGCTGCACCAGTTTGTACTCCACTCCCTGCTGGCCGCATAGGAAAGTGCAGAGTTTTCATTATCCTGTCACATATATGAATCTCTAACTTACTGTGGCTTGAAACCAAATCTGATGGCTAAGGATGTTGTCAATCATTTCCCCTTCATTTGCTTACTTCTTGCTTGGACTCTCATTGTGGATTTCCCAAACCTTTCTAGACTTCAAAGGTCCCAGTTCTTCCTCTTATCTCTGCTATTCTGAAACATCTCCGTGCGTTTACTCATGAGGAATAATTTGTTGAACTTCTTTCAGGCAGTCTACGCATTTGTCTGAAGCAGACAACTGAGTAAGAAAAGCCATACCCTTTGCCCCTACCCCTCATTTCTGTAACAGTCTAGAGGAGCTACTAGGTCTTGCAGAGTTAGTCTCCTTGAAAGGCATCAGAAACTTCCCACAGCCTTCAGGGTAAAATTTAATGGTAAAATTCAGGACACTGTGAACACCATGTGTATATACGAGTGTTAGGCCAGCTCCACCATTGGCCCTACTACAGGGTGAGGTCTCCAAATCGATAATAACCCTTTCAGGCTGTCCTACCCCTCTTTCCTGCCACCCTCTTCATGCTTCTCCAAGGTAAGGGATGACTCTTAACACTTGCATTCCCTACAGCTCCAGAACAACACTTGGTCTATTAAAAGTCACAATAATTCCATCCATTTGCCTGCAAATTTCAAAGTGTCATTGTTTTGTTTGTTTGTTTGTTTTACCACTGAGTAACACTCCTTGGTATATATTACCACATTTTCTTTACCCATTCTTTGGTTGAGGGGCATCTAGGTTGTTTCCAGGTTCTGGCTATTATGAACATAGCTGAGCAAGTGTCCATGTAGTATGATTGTGCATCGGTTCAGTATATGCCCAAGAGAGGGATTGCTGGGTCTTGAGGTAAAATGATTCCTAATTTTCTGAGAAACCAAAGTGATTTCCAAAGTGACTGTACAAGATTGCACTCCCACCAGTAATGGAGGAGAGATTCCTTACTTCATAGCCTCTCCAGCATAGCTGACCCAAGCTAGTGGGAGCTCATAGACTATGGACCGACAGCTGAGGAACCTGCATGGGACTGAACTAGGATCTCTGAATGTGGGTGACAGCTATGTGGCTTGATCTGTTGGGGAGACCCTGGCAGTGTGACCAGGACCTATCCTGACTGTCCCAAAGAAGGCCTTACCCCCTCTGAGGAGTGGATGGGGGTGGGAAAGGGGGAGGTGGGGGCAGGAGAAGAGGAAGGGGGGAACTGGGGTTGGTATGTAAAATGAAAAAAGTGTAAATAAAATTAAATTAAAATTTAAAAAGACACAATAAAAGGATGTCCACTGAGTTAGGTGGGAAGGTGGCTAGCAATATGAATGAGTGTAATACTATATAGTTCTATAAGTCACATAACTTAGGTTTTAGTTGGTCAAAGTGAGGCTGTCTTCTGATGCCCATTTCAAACTGCCCAATCAACACAGTATACTGACCCGACTGAGATGACCTTTGAGCTTAGTCAAGTATTCAAAACAAATGCTACTAGCCTTTGAAGTTTTGACTCACGGCACATTTGCATCTGATTGAATCATTTGGGTTTTAAGCAAAACAACCTAACATAAAATCCACTGTCCAAATAAGGACTCCGTGACTCAGAGTCCTGTTTAGGGAGGCGGTGCTGAAACTGTAAGAACAGTGGGCGTGGACGAACCCTCCAGTTTGGCACACCTTCCCCTTTCACCCCACGCAGATGCAGACAGGACAAAGGTCCCTCTCTCACCAGGACAGGAAAGCCGGGAACAATTTTGCGGAGGAAGAGATTGGAGGCCACCGGAAGTGGGCTTGCAGTGGGGTATCCGGCCTGGTCCAGACTGTGGGAGACAGGATGCGAGAGAGCCCTGTTAGTTAATACAGGCAGTTTCCTATTTTCGCTAGCATGCGCGGTGGCCCATATGATGAGCCAGCGATAAATATATTGTCCTGAAATCTAACCGAGAGGGAGGAAACGCCTGGTATTTATGATATGTCCTTCTGCTTATCCGTGGAGAATGTTGTTGGGGGAGATAAACATAGCAAAGACAGTGTGTGCAGAGATGTTTGTGACGGGACTCTAAGTTACAGAGGACAGACTGACAGTGTTGAGCCGCTCTGCAAAAGGATGCAGGCTCTGAGGCAGGGCTTACGTTTGATCTTGGGTCTTCCCCTCAACTCTCCTCCCTCTCTTTTCAGACTCTTAGTTGTTCGGGTCAGATAACCACAGTCACAGCTTCTGGCCTTATTTATCTCCAATGCCCCTTCACTACTAAGGGACAAGGTTTCCCCTGGCCGCCTGCTCAGCAATCCATTGCTTCTTCCTCCCAACATTCTCTCTGGTTACTGAATAATCAGATCCTTGTCAATTGTGGTTGAGTAAAGGGCACAGGAAACAACTTCTCACCAGTACCCACTGGGTATCTTTTAGACACTGCTTATTAATAACCCTAAAAGGCAACAATGACCATCTCCCATCGTACAAACTGAGAAACTGAGTGATTACTCTTTAATGAGTAGTCACAGTGTTGGAACTCACAGTCATCATGGACCTCCTACTTAGCATGTTGTGTTTATTCCTTGCTATTTGTTTGGTGTAACAGAAGCATAAGGTATTCCTGTCCTAAAGGAGATAAACAAACAAAAAACAATAGCATGCTGGGAGATGCACTTTGGCAGCAGGGATGGGAGGGGAGAGGCTCTTCAGTCAAAACCATCATAGTCATGGATGGAGGAACATGTGTGAAGGCTCAGTTGCAGGTGTCACAAAGCACTGCCTATGTGTGTCCCCTTTGCTCTTAGCTACAAGGAGCGGTGGATGTCAGCGGCTCATAGGAATTACCCTGGACTGGAGGGAACTGACTCACCCAATATAAGGTCCCTTCCTCAGGGAAATCTTGAATTCAGGGACTTGCCACCAAGGAGGTACAGAAGTCCAGCTCTTTGTAAGAGCCGTCTGGATGGAGCTCCATATTGGGATGGCCAAGGCACTCTGGCAGCTCACCCTGTGCTGGGTGACCTCTCTTCAGGACTCCCTGTGGCTGGACTCAGCCGCCTGTCAGCTAGCAGCTGTTTAGCCTCAGACTCCCCATTTCGGCTTGATGGGCTAGGCTGTCACGGGAAGTTGCTTACATGCTGGCTCCATCCCATTTTCAGCTGAACTCCATCTTCTCCAAACACAGGCAGCTGAGGCAGATTGTCATGGTTGTTTCCCATCCCACTGAGAGGCACTGATCCATCCTGAATCTACCAGCAGTGGACCTCCGTACCCACTACCCCGGGTACCTTCCTGTTCTCTCAGGAAGCTGAGCTGCCACTGAGAGAGATCCTGGTGACATGGCCCCAGCTGAATGGGTGCCGATAGGGCCAGGCACCTGTGTTTATTGATTTAGCAACAGCACACAGCCTCCCCTCTTCCCTCCTATCCCTGCCCCGAGTTTGCAGATAAGCAGGGCTGGTGGGATTGACACCTGTGACTGATGACTGGGTCTCAGGACCACACAGATGTCTGCACTGATGGGGGAATAGTTGCCAACATCAAAGGAGTACACTCACAGTGAAGAGAGTAGTGGAGATATGGAAAGGAATAGGTGTGAGAGTGTTAGGACCATCCCAGCACAATTGATGGGGTGGCCTTTTCTGGTTTTCTCTACCCCTTCTCTTTTTCCAGGCCTTTTTGTTTCTGTACTTCAGGGCTTTTCATGGACTTATAATTCAATTGTTCTTTTGTTTTTCTAGATGGGGTCTCACTGTGACTCTACTGGTCTGGACCTCGTTATAAAGACTAGGTTGGCCCTAAACTCTTAGGACTGCTTCTTCTGTCTCAGCCTCTGGGATTATTCCTATGTCTATGTCTAGCTTTCCTTTTGTTTTATAAAGCCCTAATGCAGGCAGCATTTGTCTGTGGAGAGGAGGGGATGAGAGGGCAGGCTGTAGAATGTGGGAGACTGACCGACCAGGGCAGAGGGAGAGGAGAAGCAGAGCACATATATCTAGCTCCCAACAGTGAATAAGTGAATCAACAAAGGCCCGGGACATGGCTCAGCTGCTAAAGGCACTTGGCTATCAAGACTGAGGAACTGAGTTTGATCACTGGGACCCACATGGTGGAGGGAGAAAACTGGAGTCCTTTGGTTGTCTCTAGCCTGTACACCAAATAAACAAAAGTTAAAAATACAAAACAAAAGAATGAATAAATAAATAAGTAGATAAGTAAGCTTACTGTTGCTCTGACCAGAGACCTAGACTCCTACAGCTTTGAGATGATGGGTTCTAGAATATGAAAGGAATGACTGACTTATGTGTCTGCTGTCTCATTGTCTACCTGAGGCTGAGCTCTTTCTAGTCCTTGATGCAACGTTTTCAGCAGTCTAGATCCTGGTCACACTCTTCAAATAATGGAAACTGCCTAAGAAAAAACTCAGGGAGCTTTTGGGGGCATGGATTTCTGTATCCTGACACTCTGAGTCAGGATGCTTGTGGGTCAAGGTGCAGAAATGTTCTATTTACAAGACTTCAGGTGGCTTTACTGTGCATTCGGCTTGGGGACCACTGGAAAGCCCCAGTCCTACCCTGGACATACACCCAAGCTAATCATGTCCCCCATCCCCATCTTCCCAACCCTTCTTTCCTCCTGTTTGCTTGACTGTGGAGGGTGTTCAGCTGCTTTTCTTCTCCACACAAAAGTGTCAGTTCCTTCATTCACATGTCCTATTGCTGTCATGTGGCCCCATGTTCTTCTGAAATCACCTGGGTTCTATGTGTCTTTGAACCACAGCATCCCAACCTGGAGGCTGAGTTCCAGGCATGGCTGGGTCAGCACCACTCATCGGGGACTCTAGCTTTTCTAGTTTATCAGGTTTTCTGGACCACAGAGGGATGGGCTTCTCTGAAGCTGGGGCAAACTGAGACTCACCGTACCCTTGTTTGCTTGGCTTTGTTTTGAGACAAACTCTAACTTGCTGTATAGGGGAGGGTGACCTTAAACCCCTGAGCCACATGCCTCCACCTCCAAGGTGCTGAGATTACAGGTGTCTGCCATCATGCTGGGCCTCACAGGTGTCTTAGTCCACAATGTTGTCTGTGCAACTGGCTCTCCTAGGTCCCACCTATGTCATTGACTGTAGATTTAAGCTTGCGACCACAGAATTCACTTCATTGGATTCTTTACTTAGCTGTAGCCTAACTTTTCAATCTTGCTTCTTTTGGATTAAATGTTCTCTCCCCCAACTCTTTCAGACTATCCACTAGGTTTGTAGGCAGAGCTAATACAGACACAGAAGGCGCGAGCCCACTCGACTCTCGCCATTTCTTTTTAGTTGGCTCTGGCTGTTTGTTTGCCAGCTTTTGTGTCCTTTGATGGTAACTCTCTGCACTTGTGACCTCCAGAAGATTGTTCTGTGAGTTTATGCATCTCCCCCATAATCTCCTGTCTCTAGGAACCTGAGTCAATGGTGGACTAGTGTGGGAAGACCCAGTATTGAAGAAGGACTAGCTCTGAGATACCATTTACTCCAGAGCTACCCATGGAGTCAGGATGAATCCAGACTGTCACCCAATCCTGCATCTCCCCTCCTGCATCCTTCCCTCACCTCCTCCATCTTCCACTCACCCCCTCCAGCCATCCCTCCTCTCCTGTGTCCTCCACTCCCCTCCCCAATCCTCCACTCCCCTTGTGGGTCCTCTCGACAGTAGTCTCTTAATTATCACTTCTGTTCTGGAAGAAGCAGCCCAGAGATCATGGCTTCAGCATGCAAACACAGCTGGGGAGATGGCTCAGTCTGTACAGTTTATGGCATAGCCATGAAGACCCTAGTTCAATGTCCCAGAACCCACATAAAAATCCTGGAGTAGTGGTGCATGCCTGTAATTCCAGTGTTGCTGAGGAGGAGACAGGAGGATCTCAGGATAGTTGGCCTAGCCAAATCACCAAGCTCCAGGTTCACAAAAAGATCCTGTTTCAAAAGCAAGGCTGAGAGTGACTGAGGAAGACAGTGTCGAGAGCTCACTTCCCTCTTAATAGATTAGCTATTTCAGTTTTGGTATATGTTGAATTACAGGCATGACTCACATTTTAATTCCTCCAAATAGGATCAGTCACCAGCTGAGTAGCTTTCAAGGCAAATATCCCCCATAGCTTAAGGATACATGTGGGCTTTATGCCACATGGCTCAGTAAAGCCCTAATCCCCAGCACTTCTCGCCTGTTATTATTATCTGTGACGCTGGCTGGGTGGAGCCTGTTTCCTCTTAAAGACAGTCACCAGGATGCCTTTCTGAAAACAGACAGGAGCTTTCTACCCCTGCACCCAAACGGTTTCTACTACAAGCCCATAGCCGTAGCTACTGAGAAAGGTTGGACCGACGCCTTCTTCTACAATCTGAGGTTTTCTTTGTTATTTTATTTGTTTGAACAGGGTCTCATGTAGCCCAGGTTGACTTCTAACTGAGTGTGTAGTGGAGGATGGCCTTGAACTACTGATGCTCCTGCCTCTACCTTCCAAGTGCTGAGATTACAGGTGTGTGTCCCCACACCTGGCTTATTCGGTGCTGGGGACCAAGTCTAGGACGTCACGCATGCTAGACAAGCACTTTACCAACCAAGCCACACCCCCAGCCCTCATTTGTTCCATTTCACCTGGTTTCTTTCCCTCCACAATGCACAGAAATACTGGTTGCTATCCATTAGGGTGACCTACAATTCATGAAACCCGGCTTTTGGCTGCTAAATTCTGTGAACTATTTGAGTTTTGACTTCACCGTGTCCCTGCAGCCTCTGCATCATTTCACCATGGTCCTGCAGCCTCTGCATCACTTCACTGCATCCCTGCAGCCTCTGCATCACTTCACTGCATCCCTGCAACCTCTGCATCATTTCACCATGGTCCTGCAGCCTCTGCATCACTTCACTGTGTCCCTGCAGCCTCTGCATCACTTCACTGTGTCCCTGCAGCCTCTGCATCATTTCACCATGGTCCTGCAGCCTCTGCATCACTTCACCATGGTCTTGCAGCCTCTGCATCACTTCACTGTGTCCCTGCAGCCTCTGCATCACTTCACTGTGTCCTGCAGCTTCTGCATCACTTCCCCATGGTCCTGCAGCCTCTGCATCACTTCACTGTGTCCCTGCAGCCTCTGCATCACTTCCCCATGGTCCTGCAGTCTCTGCATCACTTCACTGTGTCCCTGCAGACTCTGCATCAGTTCACCATGGTCCTGCAGCCTCTGCATCACTTCACCATGGTCCTGCAGCCTCTGCATCACTTCACTGTGTCCCTGCAGCCTCTGCATCACTTCCCCATGGTCCTGCAGTCTCTGCATCACTTCACTGTGTCCCTGCAGACTCTGCATCAGTTCACCATGGTCCTGCAGCCTCTGCATCACTTCACCATGGTCCTGCAGCCTCTGCATCACTTCACTGTGTCCCTGCAATCTCTGCATCACTTCACTGCATCCCTGCAGACTCTGCATCAGTTCACCATGGTCCTGCAGTCTCTGCATCACTTCACCATGGTCCTGCAGCCTCTGCATCACTTCCCCATGGTCCTGTAATCTCTGCATCACTTCACTATGCCACAGCAGCCTTTGCTTTCCACCCATCAGTATCTTTATTGCTAACATCTTTCTCAATGTGAATGTAATCCTATCACTGTCCTACTCAGAGGTTGGAGACCCCCTCACTTGAGACAAATCTCAGCTGGATCTGGGGACATTTATAATCTAATTCCTCTCTGGACAGTTCCTCTGCCCTACAGGTATAGTTAAATTGACTACCACAGGCCATGTCCATGCACAGTCTCAGGGACTTGACCTGAGTAGGAGCAGCAAGGGAAGGAAGAAATAACAGACAGAAGGACACAGAAGGCTAGGATAGGATGATGCGGGCTCTCTGTTGGAGAAACCACAGCACCCTGGAAAGGCCACACATTGATCATATGGAGTTGAACAGAGAGGCAGGGTTATTGCAAACAGATAAACAAGGAGGCAGGGTTTATGGTGTACAGCTGGCTCAGAGGGATAGGTTGAGCTAATCTTGGTAGGAATGGGCTCTGTGGGGGAGTAGTCTTCAGGCTGTAAATATCCAGGGAGGA